TCTTGGGGTTCTGGGATCAGGCCCCACACCAGGCTCCGTACTTGGCAGGGGGTCTGCTTGAGATTCTTTCCCCCTCCCCATCCCTCAGCTCCTCCCCCCCTCACCCCAGGCTCTCATGCTCACGCGCTCTTTCTCAAATAAATAAATAAAATCTTTAAAAATCCATAAAATTTAAAAATTAAAAATTAAATAAAAGTAGATTCACAAACCCAAGTTGTTACAAAGTCAATTTAAGGTTTTCCAGTAAATGAGTCAAGTATCTGCTTTTAAGTTGAAATGTTAATTAAAAGTTACATTTCAGGTGACCAGTAGGCACACATGACTGGCAGCTCTGCCCTAGCCTCCGTCGTGTGACCCAGCCTTGACACTTCCCCAGCCCAGCTCTCCAGGGGTTGGGCAGCCGGGCCGCTCTAGCACATGGTTGGACACTGGAGAGCAGATCCAGCCCTGGACCTGGTGACCGTGGACAAATCCTTCTGAACTATCTGAATTTATCACCACACATCTGCTTTGGGAGATGGTCTACCTCCTCATAGAAAACCCAAAGATTCATCAACACTGGGTCTGCATCTCTGTGGGGTCATAGCAGTGACTACCTCCTCAGATACCGCTGGCCCCCACTCCATGAAGGCTACAGGGCATGGTCAGCTTGGGGTGGCAGAATGGGGAGGGTCCTCAGTCAGCGGAGGACAGAAGAGTGGCTGGATGGGTGGATGGGCGATGGATGATGGACATGTGGACAGGTAGATGGCCAGACGATGGGCAGATGAATGGATGGATGGGTAGGTGGACGAATGGTCAATAAGTGGAAAGACAGATGGACAGGCAGGTGGGTGGATGATGCATGAACGTGTCAGTCTCTGGTTAGACTGATAGATGATGACCTCACCCCTGAACTCCACCCTGGTCTGCCCACACCTCCTAGGATCAGTTTGGGTGTGTTCTGCCCTCTGCCCTGCAGGTGTCTGGGGGGGTGGTGACCCGCCTGCAGTCCCATCCCCAGGTGTGGGGCAGAACATAATCACCAGCATCCTCGGCCTGTGCAAGGGCCCCACCCTCTACAGCTTCGTCTTCTACCTGTTCCACGTGGAACTGAGCAAAATGGTGGCCTGGGGCCCCGGACAATGCTGCCAGGACCAACATGGCAAACCCTTCAGACAAGGTCCCACCCTCCACCCACCTGTGTCCCACCTGTCCCCCTGCCTGTCTCCAGGGACAGGAACACCACATTGGCCTCTCTTCTCACTGGACCTTCATCCTGGGCCACTCTTTCTCTTTGGCACCTGCCCCATTCTCCTCCAGCCCCTGGTCACCCTTTTGACCCCCCCCAGCACAATCACCTGGCCCTGCAGCCCAGAGCCCACAAGAAGCTTGGTGGGGGTCCCCAAGCTGTCCCATAGCCCTTTGGGTGGGGGCCCCATCAGCAAGGAGCTGCTGCTGGAGGGCAGCATAGCCTGAGTTAGCAACAGGACCTGAGATCAGGGGTTATACTTCTGGGAGCCCCAGCCTCAGGACGGTAGAGCCAGCACCCCAAAATCAGCTCTCACCAAGATGTGCCTTCTTGCTCCTTGGGGCAGGTGAGGGGCCTGAGGATCCTCAAGGCCCTCACCCTTGCCTGTTCAGCTCATTTAGGGTTACCCCAGCATGAACCCTCCACTCCTGGTAGGGGACGATCCGCAGTCCCCAGGGATGCTGGGCCCAGCTATGGGGCCTTTGAGGGCCACCCTGACCCTACTCCACCCCCAAGGGCCTCCATCCAGTCTGTCTGAACCCAGATGTCACAGCCCAAAGCCTCTGACCCCTTGATGCTCATGACAACTTAAATCTCAGGCCCTCAGACCGGCCTCAAGGGGTCAGGCAGTGTGCAGACGCCAGGCTCTGACAGCCCTGGCCACCACCAGTGTGGGGTTCAGCTTCCCAGAGAAAGAGAAGTTGTCTTTTTTTTTAAAGATGTTATTTATTTATATGGGAGAGAGAGAGAGTACACGGGGGGGGGGGGAAGGGAGAGGGAGAAGCAGACTCCCCGCTGAGCAGGGAGCCCAATGCAGGACTAGATGCAGAACTCGACCCCAGAACCCTGGGATCATGACCTGAGCCAAAGGCAGATGCTTAACCCACTGAGCCATCCAGGCGCCCCAGAGAGAAGTTGTCTTCATGGGCATTTGGTGTTATTTACTTGGGGCTCTGGCCCCCAACCTTGGTGCCCTGGGTGTCATCCCTCCTGCCAAGCCCCCTTGGTCTAGCTCAGCCAGGCAACTTCAGGGCAATTTCTCTAGCCTTCTAGAGCCTTCTATGGGTATTTATTAAAAGATCATTCACAAAAAATAATAAATAAATAAATAAATAATCATTCACAACTTCCCTTTCCTTCCCCCCTCCCCCATCCCTGAGACCCACAGAAGCAGGGAGTGACTGTGGGGCGGGGGGAGGGGGGCATGTCCTAGGTAGGGGGTCCTCCAGCATGAAAGACACTGCTCTTGTGGCCCCAGCCCACCCCAAAGAAAGAGCTGTGAGCCCCCAACTGGCCGGTGGTACCAATGAGTGGAGCTGGCCCAGCCCAGGTGAGAAGGGTGTCCCTGGAGAGATGGGCATCTCTGGGGGGCTGGGGCAAGCTGGCCCCTCCTGGATACCCTCTGAGGAGGCCAGGTCCCCTTCAAAGCGCTGCTGCTGTCATGGAAGGTTGAGGCCAGGATGACAGGTCTTGGGGGGGCTGGGACCCCCCATGGGAAGGAGGTTTCCTGCCCAGGCCACTGAGGACTTCCTCCTGGGTGGGGACAATGCCGGGAAGGGGAGGGGATCTGCAGGCAAGCACAGCAGGAAGCTCAGGTTGCGGGGGCAGGGGGAGGTAGAGGGATGACCTCAGTCCCCACGGAGGCTGCTGGCTCCATGGGCTCAGTCTCCCAAGCACAAGACCAGATGTCCCAGATGCAGGCAGGACATGTGGTTCAGTCCCTGCTAGTGCTGGTCTTGGGCCCCTCTCTTTAGGCCCCTGCCCCCTCCCTCTTCTGCCATCCTCCCTCCCTCTGTCACTCTGTTGCCCCTCCCCACCCTAGGTTCCAGCTTTTCCTTACCTCTGCCCAGAACCCTCTGGGTCTGATCAGCCCACCTGCCCCCTTTCCTCTGGGCACCCATATCACCAGGTCCTCCTTCTGTTCTCTTAGAGTTGTGTGTGTCTTTGAGCGTGGAGGTCTGCCATCCACAGGGGTAGAGCATTTGGAGCCTGGAATGAGCACCATGGAGGACTGGTGATGGATGCGGGAGGCAGGGCCCGGAGAGCTAGGTCCCGCCCTCCAAAGGGCCTTGGCTGGGAGGGAGGCAGGAAGCAGGGTCAGGGGCTGGGAAGAGGCCCATTCACCAGGCCCACTGCCCCCTGCCCGGGTTAAGAGCCCAGCTTCCCGAGAAAGGCCCACACCTCCGGCCTGGGGAGGGCCTCACCTAGGAGTCCACCTTCCTGTGCCACCCTTCCCGGCACAAGGCTACAGGGGGGATGGGACCAAGGAAAACAGGACTCCCAAGTTCACACAGGTGGACCCTTGCCTCACCGAGGCCTCAGTTTCCCAGCCCCTCCTCTCGCCCCTCGGCTTCTGCCTCTGGCAATTAAGACACGAAGGAGGCCCAGATGCAGAGCTAGTGAGGTTCGACCCTTCATTGCCCGGCTGCCCCTCCTTTTCTTCCCAAGCCAGGGCAAGCGAGGCACCAGCCACACACTGAGGTCAACCGGAAGCACACCAGGACCCTCCGTTCTTTTCTTCCTGCATGCCTGCTGTGCATGGGGTCTGGGGTCGTGGGTGGCACTGCCCAACAGACAAGATCTACCTCCAGTAAATGGGAAATGAGGTTTTAGCTACATGACGTCATCAAGGGCTACAAGGAAAACGCAGCGGGGGAGAGTAAAATTGAGGTGGGGAGGAGTGAAGCTGGTTGGGGAAGACTCTGAGGAGGCAACATTTGGGCAGAGACTGGACAGGGTGAGTGAGTGCACAGCCTTGCCGAGGCCCTGAGGCTTCCTGATCCTGCGAGGCTTCTCTCCTTTGTGCCACAGGCAGCCTTGGGGTGTCAGCATGCTCAGAAAGGTGTTTCTAAAACCACTCTGGGTGCTGGGTGGTACATGACCATGAAGGACAGAGAAATGAGGCCAGGCTGAGGGGCAAGGAGAAAAGGGTGGATGGATTTCTCAGGACTCACTGATGACAGCTGTGAGTGGGCAGCCGGGCCAGAGTCCCTTCCTGGTCTTCCCCTGTAGACCTCAATTCCTGTGTGGAACAGGGCAGGGAGGCAGCCCCCTACCCTGAGTTCCCAGTGTCCCACAGCCCTAGCTGTTTTACCGAGGAGAGACAAGCTCAGAGGTAGGTGGTGAAGTGTCTCAGCTCCATCAGTCCCAGGAGACCCTCACATCGAAGAGAATGTGACCCCTAGGAGACCCCCATCACCCCCACAAGATCCTCACCCATGAAGGACTCTTCTTCCAGGAAGTTCCACTCCCAGGAGCCCCCCACCCCCAGGGGACTACCACCCCAGAGACGCTCACCCGCAGGAGACCCCACCCCCAGAGGACCCTCCCCCCCGAAAGCCCCCCACCTCCAGGTGACCCCCCCACCCCAGAGACCCTCACCCGCAGGAGGCCCCACCCAAGGAGAACCTGCCCCGCCCCCCCAGCTCCGCACTTCCGCGCTGGAAGAAGGCTGCTCTCCGTCGCCCCGGCTCAGCCGCTCCAGGCAGTGGAGGCTGAGATCGCACGGCCGTCGGGGCGGCTCGGGGTGGCGCCAGCCCCGGGCCTGGTTCCGATTTCCATACGGTGGACTTGGACCGCCACCCCTCTGTGGCCTCCATCTTCCAATCTTCCCATCCCTCAAAGTGGAGTCCGCTCACACCTTCCCGCCCCGTCTGTTCTGACCTTGGCTGCTGGGTCCCCGCCAACCCTGGCCCCCAGCTCCTGCCTCTCTGTCGCCTCCAGGGTCGGGGGTCAGGGCGGGAAACCCCCTCGGGAAAGCCCCGGGGAGCAGCTGGAGGACGGGGCGGCGGAAAAGAGCCGGGGGCACCGCTATTTAAGGCGCGTCCCCGGCGGGCGGAGGACAGAGCCGACACCGAGCATGGAGCAGAGTCTCGCCCTCCTGTTTCCCTTCTTCCTGGGGCTCCTCCAACGAGGCCAGGGTGAGCAAGGGAGGGGGCTCCGTTAGGGCAGTGAGTTTAGAAGAGAGGGGAGGGATGGGACCGAGGGAAGGCTCGCAGCAGGGCGGTGCGGTGGCTCGGGGAAGGTGCGGAGGACCGTACGGTGGGGGGTCTTGGAGGAGGCCGGGCGAAGGGCAGTGGGGGGGAAGCTCAGGCTGGGGGGTCTGGGGCGGGGACCCGCGGCTGGGGGCGGGGGGCGGGGCTGAGAGCGCCGTCTGCCCGCAGGTGGGCCCTTGGAGGTGGAGCCCCCAGACTCCGTGGTGGCAGTGTCCTTGGGCGGATCTCAGCAGCTCACCTGCCGGCTGGCCTGCGCTGACCACAGGACCCCCTCGGTGCAGTGGCGGGGCCTGGACACCAGCCTGGGCGCCGTGCGGTCGGACGCGGGCAGCAGTGTCCTCTCCGTGCGCAATGCGTCCCTGTCCGCGGCCGGCACCCGCGTGTGCGTGGGCTCCTGCGGGACCCTCACCTTCCAGCGGACCGTGCAGCTCCTGGTGTTCGGTGAGCTCCCACCCCTCCCCGCCGCCTGTGCACCTTCTGGCCACCCAGCAACCCTGCCTTACCTCCCTACCAATACCACCTGTTCCTGGGAGCCTTCCCAGATTGCCCACCCTGCCCCCCAGCTCAAAGGCTGTATCAGCTCCACCTATGTCGCTCTGCAATCCATTTCTTCCCTTCATCATCCCTCCTCCCCCTACCTGACCCCCACTCTTTCTGCTCTGGACCTGTCTCCAGTACTTGACATTCTAGACACACAAGCTGTGGCCGCTGGGTCTTCCCCTGACCCCACGCACCAGCAGTCCCCACTCACCCCTTGGCCCCACCCCAAGCCCCCTCCTCAGGGCCCAGTACTGACCGTATGGGCTCGGCCCACCCAGCTCACACCCTCTGTCCACAGCATTCCCAGACCAGCTGACTGTCTCCCCAGTAGCCCTGGTGGCCAAGCAGGACCGAGAAGTGGCCTGCACCGCCCATAACATCACACCTGCCAGCCCTGAGGCCCTCTCCTTGTCCCTGCTCCTGGGGGACCAGGAACTGGAGGGGGTGCAGGCCCTGGGCCGGGATGTGGAGGAGGAGCCCCAGCAGGGCGAGGACCAGCTGCTTCGGGTAACAGAGCGCTGGCTGCTGCCCCCGCTGGAGATCCCCACCCCACTCACCCTCCGCTGCCGGGCAACCATGAAACTACCTGGCCTGAAGCTGAGCTACCAGCGGGCCATTCCAGGTGAGTCTTCGGGGTTCTGGCCAGCCTGCACTCAGTGCCCCAGGAAGTAGGTGAAGTCCCCCCACCCAGCTCCTATGAGCCTTGATGGGTGGTGCCCAGGGGCTCTTCTGGAATCCTGGCTCCACCCCTCCCCCCCCCCCCCCCGCCCCCGGTGTCCCAGTCTGAATCCGTCACAATACCCACAGCAGCCAGCAGCCACAGCAGGGGAATCCCACATGCCTCCAGTGTGATACTCCTCATAAGTTTATTCAGCCATTCAACAGGTTAACTGAGCACCTACCCTATGCTGGACCTCTAAGATCCTGTCCTGCTTTGCCCACAGTCCTTCAAGGTTCCTACCTCCCTCCGGGTACAAACCCAAATCCTCCCATGTCCACAGGGCCATGAACCACCTGCCCTCACCTCCTCCGTCTCCCCCCATCACTCTGCTCTGGCCACATGAGCCTCCCAGCTGCTCCTCCAACAGGCCAGGCATGGTCCTGCCCCAGGACCTTTACATATGCTCCACCTCCACTGGGAATGCTCTTCCCCCAGCTCTCTCCATTGCTCCCTCACTCACCTTCCCGTGAGCCTTCTCCTGACCTGTCTAAAGGGTCAAAGTATCCTTACTACCTCGTACACATAGATATATACACACACACATATGCACATACACACACACAAGCCCTTTCTCCTATTGTATGTTTTTTGACACCTTTTATCAATATATGGCATCCTGCATTTTCTGCTCATTTTTCCCATTGTCTGTATCCCCTACTGTTGGCTTCACTGAGAAAGAAATATGTCTTGTTCGTGGCTATGTCCCCAGTGGCTAAAACAGTGCCCAGCACAGAGTAGGTATTCAACACATACATTCTGGATGGATGGATGGATGGATGGATGGATGGATGGATGGATGAAACCACAGTGCCCAGCACATAGCAGGTGCACAATAACTACTTGCTGAATGAACAAATGAAAACATTTAACTTGGGGCTGAGGACACAGTAGGTGCTCAGTTCATGTCAGACATTATTAATTTAACAAACATGTCTAATGTGGGACAGGCACTGTCCACATCATGAAGCCCCCAGCAACCTCTCACTAAAGAAGCACAAATTTCTTCTCCAGCAGGGCACCCTGAAATTCATGTTAATGCACATGGGGTCATCAGGGGTGGGGATGGAGCGAGGGAGCTCCCAGGGGACTGGAAGGGGGGGCAGGTAGGGTGCGATGGGAGGCCAGAGAGGCCACTGGATTTGAAAGACATTTCATGGTAGGATGGACAAATCCCCTCCTGGATCCTCAGTCTCCCCATCTGTACCACAAGGAATGGAGCACCCCTTCCCTTTGCCAGGGAGCACCTTCCCCTCTCCACCTCCCAGTCCTGTAATTTATAAAATCCAGGTCTCACCAACCCTGCACTCTGATCACTCTCCATGGCAACCCCCAGGATGTGGCTCTCACCCCCTATACAGTTGAGGAAACTGAGACGCAGACATTCAGAAGCTCACCCAGAGTGGGGAGGGGACCAAGACAGACCCTGACCCCGCTCCTACCCACTGGGATACCCTTTGATTTGCCCAAGTGGCCCAGGATGGGGCTTCAGCGGTTCTGGTCCTACCCCATGGTCTAAACGGAGAGACGGGCAGAAGAGGGAGCCTGGGGCAGGAGAAAAACCATCACCTTGTTTTCCAGTCCTGCACAGGCTGACCTCCCCGGAGCCCCCTGTCACGACCTCTGCCGAGGCCACCCCAGAGCTGAGCTCCACCCACAGCTCCGAGAGTCCAGGACCCCCACCAGGGAACAGCTCCACCAGGCCCTGCCACCCTGAGATCCGCCAGTCACCAGCAGCAGGGGGTCTGGAGCTATTTTGTGAGGCTGTCTGTGACCCCGGTGTGGCAGTGGGCTGGACCCAGGCCCCCGGGGGTCTGGAAGCCTACCAAAGGTGGGAGGCTGGGGCCCAGGCTTGGCTGAGCGTGCCCTGGGCCGGCTGCAGCCCTGAAGGCTGGTTTCGGTGTCGCCTGGACCCAGGGGGACAGATGGCCAGCCTGTACCTGGTCCCGGAAATCTGTGAGTTCTGGGGGCTAGGGAGGGGTCCGGGGGAACCTCAGAGGGAGGGAAGCCTGGCATCAAGACCTCAGACAAGGGATGGGCCTGCCCAACTTCAGTCTCCCCAGTTGTCCAGTGGGCTTCCCTAACGGTGGAAGATTCCAGTTACTTGGCACTGTGAGGACTGCAAATTTCAGAAACTCTAGATTCACAGTACTCCTTAAACTCTAACCTGTACAACCCACAACAGCCTGTAGGATAGAAATAGAATAGGGCCACTTAGGTAGTTTCAAATTTTCCAGTAGCCACATTTAGAAATATAAATGAGACATTTTACATTCTTTTCTTTTTTTAAACTAAGTCTTCAAAATGTGTGTAATTACACTAACAGCATGTTGCATTCGGATGAGCCATATTTCAAACAGGCGTGGTGGGCAGCCAACTCACTTCCAACCATAAGGTCCTATGTGCCTTTCAAAAGATCCACTCCAGAAGTCCTTTGGATATTTCAGCAGTTTTTATACACTTCAAAAGACACTCTAAACCATGAAGTCCTTTGCAAAATCTCAGGGAACTCAGTAAATGTGGAAGCCCCTAGCAGATTCTTGTGAGCTTCTCCCCCACACCTGCAAAGAGGTGCTCAGGACTCTCGACGCTTCCTTCTCCAGGCTCCCAGACAACACCCCCAGCCCTGTGGACGGGCAGCTTGGTGCTGGGGCTGCTCTTCTTGGTGTTCCTCACCTATCGCCTGTGGAAACGCTGCAGGCCCACCCAGTGACAACCAAGCCCACCGGCTCCTCTGGGCCCCCTGCCCCACCTGGACGGATTGAGGGGGACTGGCCTGCCTTTCCTTCCACACAGTTGCAACCAGAGGACAACTGCAGGGTTCTGGACCTACATGGTTGAGAGCTGACCATTAGCCCCTTACCCTGATGGCCAGCATCTGAGTTTCCCCTCAGTGGAGCCCCTGAGGAACCCCCCCCCCAGCAATGGTCCAGAGCTGGAGAATAAAGAGCATCTGGTCTGACCTCAGTGGTTTCTGTGGGGTTACAAGGATGCTGGAATCTTCCACACAGCTCCAGCTACCCTCTGCACTGGGAGACTCCCTCAAGAGATGAGGATGGACAGGACCCCCAACCCCTACTTGGCCAGGTCTGGGGAAAGGGAGCAACAGGGAGCGTGGGTTCTGCCTGCGGTGGGGAGAACACAGCTTGTACCTTTCCCCGGATGGGGGGACACCTAAGGAATAACTAGAAGTCCTCAAAAGAAGTGGGGAAAGTTGAGGGGGTGCACAGTGTGGACAAGACACAGAAGTGGCTTGTTAAAGGAAATCTTCTCTCTCTTGGGGTGGCTTGGGAGCTAAGTCGGTCGGGTGGGGGAGAGGCGAGGAGGAGTCTGGGAGTCAGATCAGCAGATGAAAGCTGGGGATTCCGCTGCGGGCACTGGGGAGCTATGGGAGAGTTCAGAGCTGCAGAGGCTGTGGTGAGAAAGATCCCTCTGGTGGTGAGGAAAGGTAACAGCATGGGGCGGGGAACTGGGGACCTCAGGTGGTCCACTCGTCCGGCGAGCCATGAGAACCCAGAGCAGACCCCCTAACTCAGCCTGGCGGGTGGCTGGCGGGGGAAAGGAGACCCCTCCCCACGGGGTGATCCATAAACCCAGACGGAGACCGCACCGGGCTGAAGGCCAGACTGAGCACAAAGGCTCAGGACAATCAGAAAGCGGGGCAGGGTCGGCGCTCAGTCCCGGAGTCGGAACCATCCCTGCGCATGCTCCGCCTGGCTGCCCCGGTAACCAAGGCGACTGGTTGCTAGGGGACCATGCTCGTGAAGGACTCGCCCACCACAATCCGGCTTCAGGCCGAACACCATGCCCTTCCTAGAGAGCCATTCTGGAGTCTGGCAAAATGCACGTTCCGGGCCTAAGCTCGGAAAGCTAACCAGCACTCGCAAAGAGGAACCGGAGAAGAAAGCCGATGAGAGCCGGGGCGGGGGTAGCCTGGCCTAGTTATTTGTCAGAGTGTCCCGCGGAACGCGGGCGCCCTCTGCCCTTAACCAAGATGGCGCCCCAGGCGCCAGCGCGCTGTGGAACACGGCGGCGCTTCCGGTCCCGTTGCCCGCAACGAAGATGGCGGCAGTGGAGAGGCGGCGGCCGGCCGTGGCTCCGGCGGCCGGTTTTGTCGACAGCGGGCGGCCGGCGGTGTCCCGAGCAGCAGCAACGGCCGAGCGCGAGGAGGACTTCCTGCGGCAGGTCGGCGTGACGGAGATGCTGCGCGCGGCCCTGCTGAAGCTGCTGGAGGCGCGGCCCGAGGAGCCGATCGCCTTCCTGGCGCACTACTTCGAGAACATGGGCTTGCGCTCGCCTGCGAACGGCGGCGCCGGGGAGCCCCCAGGCCAGCTCCTGCTGCAGCAGCAGCGCCTGGGCCGCGCGCTGTGGCACCTCCGCCTGGCTCACCACTCGCAGAGGTGCGGGGCCGGGCCGGGCGGGGCGGGGCGGGGCCGGGCCGCTGCGGACCTGGGGCCCCGGCGTGCTGCCCGCGGGCATGCGGGGCGCGGTAGTGCGCACGCCTCCTGGCGCGGGCTGGGCCCAGAGCGCGGGGGCTGGTCTTTTGTGATGCCTTTCTGCAGGTGCTCAGTTTCCCCTTGCAGCCCTCCCCACTTTTAAGAATCGCGGAGCCCAGAGAGGACCCAAAGTCACAGAGCTAGTCCTCCGAGCCAGGTCCTTCCAAACTAGGTTTTTCTTTAAATGCCTTGTTAGTGGCGGCGTTGCGATCCCATCCATTGAGCCAGAAAGTGGATATTTACAGGGCTGAGAGCAACTCAGTCACCCGAGGCCCGTACCCCCGGAGGCAGCGCCCAGCGGGCAGGAGGGGTGTCCAGAAGGAGGCCTGCTTCACGCACAGGAAAAGGGGCTGCAGGCACGAGGCGGGCAGGTGCACTGGCCTGGAGGCCATAAAGCTGCCGTGTGGGACCCACAGGCTCCTCGGCCTTTCTGTGGCTGAAGCACGGTGGGGGGGTGGGGGGGGATGGAGCCTGCCCCCCTACACGTGCCCGCCCAACAGTTCTGAGCCCACGAAAGGTGATTGAGGAATATGTATTGAATGAATGGTCCACATGACATGGATTGAGGAGCTTTCTGACATGCAACATCAACCAGGTGAGGTCATGACTGGATGTGGGTGGGCTGGGCCTTGGCTGGTGGGGAGGGGTCCCTAGAAGCAGAACCTGAGGCAAGTATTCATGCGTGGGTAATGTTATAAGGGAGTGCTCCCAGGAGAACCCAGGACGGGAGAGGAAACCAAGCAAGGGAACATTCCAGCCTGTTCACCAGGCGATTCCCCACTGTGCTTCCAGCACCTGCCCACCTTTCGGCAGCCCTCCCAAGAGAGTCAGAGTACAGGCCGTAAGGACAGCACTGGGAAGCTGGGGAGGGGTCTCAGGTATGGGAAGGGGTGTGGAGGGTGGGAATCTGAGCAGAGCATCCATGTGCCCTGAAGGTCAAGCTGCTGGGTTTGCAGGGGCAAGGGTGGGAAAGAAGTATGCAGAGACAGTCCTAGGTCGTCCATGGGGCTGCCCACTGAGATGGGAGGTCACTGATATGGGGGAAGTGTCCAGGGTTGCTTGGGGACTCTTAAGTCGGGCAGCTGGGAGAACCTTGCAGCTGGAGGGTGGACAGGTGGCTCTGCCAGTGGGACAGGAGGTTGTCCACCAGGAGGGGTTGTGAAGGCCTCAGGAGAACTGAGAAAAGCCTGGGACCCAACCCTGAGGAGCCCCAGCCTCAGAGAACCCACAAAAAAAGCACGATCAGGCCAACCAGACATGAAGGAGGGAACTAGAAGAGAATGGCATCCTGGAACATCTTCCAAAAGGGAAAAGTCGTCAGTGGCTGGGCAACCATGTACGGTTGTTCAGGCCAAGCACTGCACAAGCCACTCACCTATAGATAGTCACAAATGAGGATATGTCTATGAAGGCTTTTTGCAGTTTCTTCCTAATCCACGCAGAGGCACCCTGTGGTGGGCTGGTGGCAGTCCCGTATCCAGTGGCCCATAGACGAGGGCCGACAAGTGCCTGTTGGATTTAGGGCCAGGAGAGCTGTATTCCTGTCCTGTGGCGGCTGTAACAAATTACCACGAGCTTGGTGGCTTAAAACAACAGAAATGTGGGGCACCTGGCTGACTGGGTCGGTAGAGGGTGCGACTCTTGATCTCAGGGTTTTAAGTTCAAGCCCCACGTTGTGTGTAGAAATTACTTAAAAATCTTTAAAAAGGTGGGGAGGGAGAAATTTATTCTCTCACAGTTCTGGAGGCTGAAAGTCTGAGATCAAGCTGTCACAAGGCTGCCCTCCCTCCGGGGGCTCCAGGGGAGGGTCCCTCCTGCCTCTCCCAGCTCCTGGGGTCTCCAGGTGTCCCTCGGCATGTGGCCGCATCGCTCCAGTGCCTGCCTGTGTCCTCCTCTGTGTCTCTCTGTCTTTTTCTTTCTGTTCTAAGGACCCTTGGATTTAGGGTTACCTCATCTCATCTCCAGATCCTGAACAAATTACATCTGCAAAGACCCTATTTCCAAATAAGGTCACCCTCAGAGGTTCCAGATAGACATGCATTTTGGGGGGACTCGGCTCACTGCACTGCAGGGGTGTTGGAGCCGTGGGTTGGAGGCACTTCGGAGCTGGAGGGGCACAGAGGGCGGAGTGAATAGGGGAGTGGCGGGCGCACCTGCTCTCCCCAGAGACGGAGCCAGTGGCTAACTCAGAAGACAGGGTCCCCATCAGGAGCCCCTGAACCTAGCCTGAGGGGCCAAAAGCAGAAGCCAGGCCAGGCAAGTGCCAGTGTGCAAAGCAGGTGCCCCGTCTGACGAGGAGGGCCTGACTGGGCCACCTGGGAGCTGTTCTTGAGGGCCTCATCAGCATGAAAGACTTGGGGAGAAGTCATCCAAAATTCCTTTTCCTCTGTTTTGTGCAGATCGCAAGTGATGGTCTCCGGGAGGGACTGGAGGTGGTGGCCGCAGGTGCAATCGACCACCCCCCTGCCAGCCTCAGGGCCCCAAGGGCATAAAAACCATGTTTGTGAGACTTGCTGAGGGCTGCATGGTCACTAAGGGGCAGGTACAGAGTCCAATCTGGACAGTGTGGCCCCCTCACCCCCAAGGCCTCTGAGCCACCACAAGGCTAGTAGTAACAGCCAGGGTGCCCTTCCTGCAGGCCCCCCTGACCTGGGAAAACCTTCGAAAGGGCACCCCCAAGTCCGGGTTCCTCAGCTCAGTCTGGGCCAGGCCCTCCTGAGCACTGTGGGGTGTTGAGCAGCCTTCTTGGCCCCCCCTCCCCCCAAGTGATAACACCCAAAAGTGCCCCCAGATCGCACCAGGAGTCACCCCCATGGAGAACCCCTGGGCTAAAGTGAAACGTTTCCGTGTCTCACTCCAGAAATAGTCGACACACTCTCACGTAGGTATTATCTAAGCAAATGCTCACTCTAGTGCTCTGGGTGGGAGCTGATACGGTGGGGCCCTCAGTGGAGCCCCAGTCCCCATGTCACAAATGGGGAAGCCAAGTCCCAGAGCCCGGCGATCCCACAGACAGAGCAGGTGCTCCCTGGTGGCCGCCGGGAACTGTGTGGGGGTCCCCGGGGAGCTGCAGACCCGCGGCCAGCAGCCTAGAGGTTGGGTGTCACCTTCCTCAGCGTCTTTCCCATCAGCTCCGATCTCGTAGGGCTGTGATTACCTCTCTGCGTGCCTTCCTGCCTCATGAGGCCAGGAGTGTAAGGCAAACAGTGTGTGGGCAGCCCACTGAGTCCCACCCTGGTCACAGCCTACGCTGAGTGCAGGAGGGACCCCTCCACGTGCCAGGCCCTGTTTTAAGTACTTGGCTCATGAGAACCCTGAGAGGCAGGGATGGGGACCCTCACTCTCCAGTGACCAGAACCCGAGCGTAGGTCCAGGTGGGGTCCAGGGACAGAGCTGTGCTCCCAGAAGGCACTCGGTGAACATGGGAACCAAACGGCACGGGGGTCTTGCCCGCCAGGCCCCAGCCTCTAGAGAGGAGGGAATTTACTCACCTGGAGGGCAGACCAGGCTGCTGAAGAGGCATCGTGGCCCAGAGTTGGATGAATCGTGGACCATGTTTGTATCAGGACAAGCTGTGTCACGTGGCAGGAACAGCTCTGAGACCTCGGTGGCCCCAACACAAAGGATTGCTTCCCGCAGCACGAGGCAGAGGCCCAGGGGACTGCCCTCACACATGCACTGGGAGTTTACCCAAG